TGCAGAAAATAAATCTGCATAATTTTGCCACACTTCTATGTATACTTCAAATTTTAAGAGTCTAATAGCTAAATGCTTTTAGCTGCCTTATACTAAACAATTTTCATTTAAATAAAAATTAAAATATTGCTACCTTCTCATTATTTTAAATATTATGTTGACTTTTTGATTAATTAGATAGTCACAACTATTGTTCTTGTTAAAAGCTCCTCTGACAATCCTTTTTGATGATGCCTTTTTCAAATTCAGAATAATGAAACAGATTGTAACAGATTATGTCTTTCCATAAAATCTGCCTTTCAGGTTTCCTAAAGCGCCACTGAGCAAGCACAAAGATTTGCCCTTTCACTTACAAAAGTGTAATAAACTAACCTGGGTTAGCCTAACTGACTCCATCTTAGCTGCAAGCCTCACAAGCTCTCTCGAGCCTCTCCCTCTTCCTCCCTGCTGCAGCCCCTCTGGTGCATTACTGGGTCATGCTGCACTCAAAGCTTTGAAACGTTAAGAGTGGTTCACACTGTTCACAGCACCTATAACCACTGTAACCGCATCCTGCTTGGCAAGCGTATCTGCTATTGTGAATACTTTCCTTGGTGATTGATTGTATGGAAAGTTCCCCCTGCTACCCCCTTTAGTGATTATATGGAAATACCCATAGCAACCAACAATCTTGGGAACCTCCAACCCCCTGATTACCAGCCTCCTCCTACTAACTTGCTTGTTCTGCTTCTGTAAAATTCCACTTCAGCTAGGCTGCCCCCACCCCTACCTAAATCAAGGTATAAAGGGAAATCAAGCCCCTTCCTCGGGCCAAGAGAATTTGAGTGTTAGCTGACTCTCTGTCGCTGGCTGAATAAAGGACTCATAATTTGAACTCAGAGCATGGTGTTTCCTTCTAACTCGTTTGGATATTACAAAAGATACTACAAATAATCAGGTTTCTTTGACATAATTCAGAATTTATGTAGCCCAGAACTACTGTGACTATGCTTTTGTTTATATAACCCAGGTATATTAAAAACCAAAAGCTGAAAAAGAGAAGTTTGGCCTTTCTAGGCTAATTATATATAAGTAACTTGTTATTAAAAGATACCTGGGCCGGGTGCAGTGGTTCATGCCTGTAATCTCAGCACTTTGGGAGGCCGAGGCAGGCA